TATATATATATATATATATATATATATATATAGGTTTTGTAGATTACGCTTCAAAGGTCATGTTCGAGTGACATTTTCTTGCTATTTATCAAATTGACTTTTTTTTTTTGCAAAACTGATATTACGTAATATGAGTATATTTTTGCAGTTCAATTCAAAAGATAAAAATCGGTTTAAACTGTTATTCCAATAATCTGTTTCGTAATATATAAGGGGTGTTTGAGATTGCTTATAAAAACAACTTATTGACTTATTTCAGTGTGACACCGATAATAAACATTTTTGAGTGTTTGGGTAAACAACTTATGCTGGTGCCAAACCAGTAATAAGAAGTTTTTGAAGAAGTTAAATCATTCTAACTTATAATAAGTTGATAAGTGCTTTTGTAGAATAACATAAGTTGTTCCAAATAAGCAATCCCAAACACCCCCATACACTAACTTCTAAATAACCGATATTTCCGTGTGAGATTTTACTCCATTTTCTTAATACTAATTCTGTATCTATTGATTATGGTATAAATGAACGGAACCTAATTGCAAAGTCAATGACCTCTTTCACATGGTTTTTTGAGTTCATCATCCTTCTTGATTCTCGAAACTTCTGTTGTAAATAAATAGCCTCCAATTATGTAATTTCAGCTTTTTTATGATTGACAAAATTGACCCTGTCAAACTTGGTACAAATAAACACAATTGCCAAGTTCGATAATCCTATTTGTGTGTGTCCTAGTTTAGTGGTCCCTGTCATTACATATATATTTTGATACGGAGAAATTTGTTGGTGATTTGTATCACTAATATTATTTAAGTGTAATGAGATTAATTTGTTGACTAATGTAATTATGATAAATATCGAACTAGTAAGAAAGGTGCAGAGAGTACACTTGTTTGAGTATATTTTGACTTAGAGGCAGCGCCCCCGGTGGCGGGGTCCAAGGGGCAGAGCCCCTGGCTGGGAAATGCTTTGTGGTTTGGGTAATATTGTTTTGTGGAAAATGCTTCAAAAATCTGAATTTTGAATTTTAAATCCGGTTTAGGGTTCAAAAACTGCCGTTTTGATAGTTTTCGTGTTCATTTTTTTTCCCGAATTGGTCATTTTTTAGAGTATATAGATTCATAACAATCGATTTTTTGTTCGAAATTAAACCACTGATTTTATCCGATTGAAATTTCGATTGTACCATCGAAATACTTCAATCTGAAAGTGTTACACGACTTTCAGTGGAATCCAAGCAATCGAAAACCAGAAATTCTAACAAAATATATGAAAATTTTAAACCCATAAAAAACCATCAAGACAGACATTTCCATTTCTTCTGAAACAATCGCACGTAACTGATATATGAAAAAAATTTAAACCCGTAAAAAACCATATCTAAATGACAAAGAACCAACCCCGACAAATCGAATTTGATTTTCATCACTTGATAAAGTCATGCTTAATTTAAAAAAAATGTTCTTTTTGGCTGTCTTCATGTCTAACCTTACTCGATCACGTGTCACGGGGTTTTACTCTACTCAAATAATGCAAAACTCTCTTGTATTAATAACTGATATGACATATAACGAACATAACTGGTTTTAAAAGATCTTAATCCAAATCTTTCACAGTACAATAACAAAGTTTACCGTTGAAGAACTAACTTCTTAGATTTATAAAAAATATTCTCAGCATTTCTTGATCAGATAAATCAGACGATTCTACGTGAACTCTTGTAATTTTTTATTTGAATTATTTTTTGTAAATTTTATTTCACACATATTAACATCAAGTTTTTTTTTTTTATAAGTAAACTATAAATTCGTTCTTTGTGGTTTGGTGGTTATGACACTTTACATCCCTATATTCTTTTTAAATTACAAAATGATCATTGTGATTTGAAAAATGACCGTATTTTGTTTCTCTCTGATGACGTTAAAAGAATTTGTTAAATAGAAGACATTTTTTTGTATGTTTTTTTAAAAATTTGATTTAAAAAATATTTGAAGGGAAAGGTTTGAAAGGTGAAGAATCTTAATAAATGAGTTGGGTGAGGGGGAAAAGAGCAAAAGAAAAGAAGCCAAATTCATGTCATTGATGCTTGAGCTACTTGTCAAGGAATCTGCAGACAGGTCAAAGGCTTCACAAAAACCCACGCATCTTCATATATATCTACTGTCAAAGTCTGTATACATATATAAACATCTGGATTACATGAATCTAGTATGTTCCGATGAGAACTTTTAGATCATTTTTTTTTACATTTGAAACTTCACAGTAAAACGTTGTAAATGTAATATTTACAGTGTTTTTGCTGTAAAAGTTTGGCTTTTTTTACCTTCACAACTTTTTTGTGAAGTTTTAAGTGTAGAAAAGTGGTCTCATAAGAACAAACCAGTCTTACATGAACCTAACCCTATATATATATGTATGATATATCTATATATATACCAATTCAAATGATAACTATGAAAATGTTGTAAATTTTGAAAAACTTAACCAATAAAAAAATATGATAGTTTTACATGTATTTATTTTATCATATGAAACTTTTTTATATGTACTTTTTATTTCACTGAGTGAATAAAAAAAGTTTCGTATTTAATTTTTTCACAAGATGAAAACGAACATATGTGAAACAATACTTTAAATCATAGTTTTTGATGAAAAATCATGTTAAATATATTATTACATCGATTCTCAGACATGTACGTACGAATTTATAACATTTTTGTGATTCTAAAATAAGATCTTTATGAGTTTTGCAATAAATTTTCACACGATATAAAATTACTGTCACTTTTTCTCGTAAAAAAGATTGCTTTTACCGGAACCCAACCCAACCCAACATTATCTGTATGTGAGTATGTGTTATATATATATATATATATATATACATATAGCATTATACATATCCTCCAACCATAGCTCCATATCTGCTACACAGCAAGCACAGTTGATATAATATATACAAGATGAGATCTGCAAGTGCAAGCCTCCTCCCTCTACTTTTCTTCATCCTCATCTTATCTCATGGAAATCTTGATGCCAAACCACAAGACATGGGTTCTACCAATTCACTCCATCTGGTACTTACATCATCATCATCATCATCATCATCATCATCATCATGTATATATATATATATGTACAGTTGTGTGGATATTAACATGGTTTGTATTGTTTTTATCAGATTGAGGGAAAGAAGATGATCAAGGGTGAAGAAGGCACTGAAAATGGATCTGGTTTTGAGAATGAGGATTACATCTACACCCAATCAGTCCCTTAGATTTCATTTTATGAAGCTAAGGGCCGTTGTTTTTCCATTAAGCCCCGTACATCCTAAACTCACCGTCCATCCTTCAACTTCAACAACCACTACCGCGCCACCGCCACGGATTTGCTATCGTTACCTACAACCGCCATCAACCACCCACACAACTCCTCAATCCCTCCCTAGCTCTCAGCTTCCCCTAGTGGCCAAAAATCTAGCAAATTTACTAAAGAGTTAACTCTATTTCATGATCATCGACTATAAAATGTAGACGACTATGTATCTTTTTGCGCGTTATGATCAATGTTTCTCGTCGGTGTTGTTTAATTAGTCCATCTCATAAGTATTAATAAGAGACTATGTATGATCTATCTACCTCTTCGACTTTTATAATGTGACGGAAGATCGTACAACGACATTTATTTGTAGTTGAAATTGACTTATCGTATTTTATGGTGTATCATTGTGTCATTGTATTCTCGTTATAACTAATCCCATGATGACCAAGCAGGTGGTCTGGAGTCCCCGCATTTGAACATCCGTGGCCACAAGCGGATTTTTATTCCTCCTTGGATATGAACATGAGATTTCCAGGTATTCTTGACCTTTGGAGTTCAAGCCCAAACCAATCAGGCACCGGCCTTCTGGTTAAATATAAGATTATTTATATTTTGGATTTACATGATTTGACCTAGTAACCAGCAGGGAAGCCTCCCTTTCTTGGGTCGCTTACTGCTATAAGCATCCCCATCTTTCCATCCTTTGCTTCTTCTTGAACAACTAACTGAACCATAGTCCCCCCATAAAAACTCTCTAGGACATGTCCTTTTCCTCGTAGAGCCGCTTTCGTCTCTTCGTCTATTTCGAAGTGATCATTGCTCACCGTCGTCCATTTTTCGTACTGTACCACGTTCGGGAACAGCTACAGTGATGCACAAAAACCATTCAGAATCTACCAAAGAACCTCCAAGTCATCAAAGCAATGTTTTATAAGTCATAACCTTCATTCTTCAGCTTAGTCTTAGACAGTGATGCACAAAAAGCTGGAAAACTCGAACCTAGTAAGCCCAAAGCCCGGGCCCAGCCCCAGCCCATCCATAAAGCCCAATTAGCTAGGCCAATCTTTTTTTTTCAAGGCCCGTTTAAACATTAAAGCCGAGCCTGAAAAAGCTCAGGTCTCTTTCAAATCCAAAGCTTGCATCAAATATCTCTTCTAATGTTTTCAAAAATCGAGTTTGACCTAAGCGGGTTGGATATCGATAAAAAAAACGAAGTTTGAGCTGGGGTTCAAATAGCAAGGCCTGTTTAAAGTATATGTAATGCACCCACCTGATGGTATGTTCTTGGAGCCATGACAGCAGAAAATGGATCCATTCCCCTTACAAAGTAGTTCAGAAATACCTCTACAGTCCCAGGTGGTATCTTTATCCCACCACTACCTCCTAAAACTGCTTTCACCTTTCCGTCCTACAAAATTACAACCCATTAAAAAAATTCTATAATAACAATTGGTGCAACCACAAGAAACACGGGTTTAGCAACGACTTTTGTAGTCACTTAAAGTCCATTTATCGTCACAAAAGGTTTATAGCAATGACATGGTTTGTGGCCGAAACATGTGCACATGGCGAAAGCTCACTTTTTTGTAGTTCCAGGTTCGTTTAGGTCGGTTTACTGGATTTGTTTATACGATGTTTCAATCTTGTAACGAAAATGAACCAACAAGATAAGAGGATATCGTACCTTGAGGACAATGGTGGTCGAAATAGATGACAACGGCCTTTTGCCCGGGAAGATAAAATTGGATGGTGCAGGTGGGGGAACGTTTTTGGAAAGATTTGTAGGGATTGAGAAATCAGCCATTTGATTGTTGAGGATTATCCCAGTACTAGGTGACAAGATTTTTGCACCAAAATAAGAGTTTATGGTACAAGTCATCGAGACCACGTTGCGCTCCTTATCTACAATTGACATATGACTCGTACCATCTTCCTCGATCTGATTCCACCTACATAAAGAACAAAAACACCATTTGATCAACAACAATCAAACTATATGGACAGGTCTGTTTACATCACACCCGAGACCCCACCTAAACCAAAACAAGTTGATTAATAAATTCCACTTGTCCTCTACCCAAAAAGAGTAGAGCGTAAACACGCTTGTGCAAAGAGTGTGAACAAACAGACCCCTCTACCCCAGAGCCCATCTTCGGGTGGAATATACTGGTGTCGTTAAAAGTGATGAACTAGGCAAACCTGCCACCATAATGAGTTGAATCGAAGGTCATGTTGTCGTATATAGTCTTCTGCAAACGTTTTGCAAACTCGGGAGATGTCATAAGGTGTAGATACTTTTCTGCGTTCACAAAATCCGGGTCTCCGAGATTCATCCGCATAGCATACGCGTGCTTAATAGCTTCAATCTGTCGATGAATCATAAGCGGTCCAGATATGTTGTTTTGAGCTCGGTATTGAGCGATTATGTTGAGGATCTGCAAAAGAAGAAAGTAAGAAATACCATATACCACAAAATTGCTATAAAATCTGTGTTTGGAGTCTCATATTACATACACATGGTACCTTTTTTTTTTTTTTTTATTAACCTGGATATCCAACCCGCTATAGACATGATACTTTTAACCTCTATACATATAAACAAGGGTTAATTGGGACCTACCACGAAATGATCATATTTCACAACCTGAAACCGCATTTTTTCTGAAAAGCACTTGCGAGATGGATGGTTATTTTGTGCTAGTTCTGGAAAAGTTAGTCATTGATTTTGTGGCGGGTCCGATTGGAAAATGGTTATTTATATGATTATCGTACGTTCACAAAAACAATCGTTCCACGTATCTTCACAAGGTATACTTACAAGTGCGATTGTCGCACCACCGGAAGAAGGCGGCGGCATACCTAGTACTTCAAGGCCTAGGACCTGAATAGAGATTGGTTCTCTGACTTTAACTTCATACTTCTGAAGATCTTCCATTTTCAGTAACTATAATACCCGTCAGATATGTATGTGTGTGTGTGTATATATATATATATTAGTTTAATATATATATATATATATATATATATATATAT